AGGCTGAGACAACAAATAATGGTGAACAATTATTTTAGGCCACTTATTGTGAAAAAGTGATTTCTTCAGAATATGCTTGAGCTTTTATTGTTTTTCTACTTGTAGACCAAAGATGCTGTTGCCATGACGCCTGCTGTCCTGCCATGTCTCTCAGTTGTCCTCCAGGACGATGACAGACTTCTACAATGTCTCTGCTATGTTTTGCTTTTCTGTTTGTCAAAAATCTAAACTTTCATCTGGTTTTAATTTGTGCTTTTCTTATTATCCACAGGATCCAGATGCCATGGCGACTTCATCCTGGTTCCTGTGGGGTTACTGACTGTTATGTTAAGTTTATCATTTTGTTCAAATTAAATGTTGAATCTTGTGAACTTAAAGTCTTTCGTTGTGGTTACTTAACTTATTAAGGCAACTGGTTTCCTAGATTCTGCTCAGTAAACTGAACTGTTCATGTAAGATGGACTAACTTGATGTAGTCGAGTTAAGAAGAGGATAATTTACTTTCTATTTCTAAGTTGAAACAAATTCACTAAACTAAGTTAAATTAACTCGACACAATTAAGTTCATACAACAAGGTCTTAAGTACACTGAACAAGTATATGTTAAGTAAACAAAATGTAAGAATAGTAGTTTAAACTTACATTTTTCAAGGCAATCGGTTTCCAAAATTTTTTTAAGTAAAGTCAACTTGTCAAAGTTTAGAGTGCTCTTTTCGTGTGTACTTTATGTATTTATTTTGATGAGAACTGTGCAAGTTGTTAAAGTAATGTTTGGCAGTTGATTGAAGCATCTAGTAAGAGGTGAGTTATTCTAAATAGCTAAACAGATGTCTACTCCAGCTTACAATGAGTGTTTGAGTAAAGAAATGTAATTCTTAAAAGCATATTTTTGTCATCTAAAATCTGTGAAAGTCACTTTGCTAGAATACTTTTGCATCAAATAAGCAAAGGACTGAGCTAGGCGTGATGCATTTACAGTTTAATTGGCCTTGACACTTTATTGTATTTTCTTCCCACTTCACCAATGCCCCAGGGAGCTCAGGCCCCTGCTGGTGCCTCAGTGGCGAAACTTGAGCTCAATCAAGACAATAGACTGTTCCAATAAGGATCTCCTGATTGTACCATGTCAGAGATTTTGCCTCCAAGTCAACATTAAGAGTGGAGGAGATGACCTCAAAAAGTCCAATATGTCGTCCTAACATCATCATTAACTTTGACAGGGCCACCACTAATCACGTCTTCCTTTGATGGCATAGTAACTGATAGCTGAGCCAATGGAAGCTAGAGCTGAGGGAGGGCTAGGACATTTTCTTCAGTTTTCTGATATTGTATTTCTGCATTTAATGACTGATTCTGTATCAGCATACCATTGATTCATAATAACAGAGCTAAGTGCAAGCTATATTAGATATTAAGGCTATTCATAGCTCTAAGCTAAGCTTCACTACATCCACAGTAATGCTAGAACATTTTTTTTTATTTGTTCCATGATTTCAGACCTTGTTTAGACTTATTAGGTTATTTTTTGTGAAGCAATTGTTACTAAAATTTATCTTACTTCTTGCAGAAAAATATAATCAATGGGAAAGGCTATAGTAACAAGAAGCCTTGGTTAGCTAATTTTAGTCCACAGGAAGTTGCTATTGTGATACACCATAAAGTGGGAGAATTTAATTATCACTCGTTGATAGTCCAGAAAATCTATTTAAGAATATATGCCACCACATAAATTAGTAGTATATATATATATATATATATATATATATATATATATATATATATATATGTTTGTTTTTTACACTTAAATTGACCAAAATACCCTGTTAAATAAAACCAAGGTCCGGGCAACGTCCCACCAGGAGACCGGAAGTGAGGAGCCCCGCCCCTTGCTCTTCAGACAGAGTTTGGGGAAGAAGATGGCGGTTGCCTTTTTTCTCTCTCTCTCTCACTGACGCTGTTCGTCGTTACAGGTTAGTAACGTGAAGCTGGTGAGGGCTTCCCCCCACTAAACATGTGGAGTAACAATGTATATTTGGATATGATTTGTAATTTGATAGATAGATGTGCTGAAACATTGAAAATAAAAAATAAAAAAGGGATTTGTTAGGATCGTAGTTAGCTACATCGCTACAAGTATCTTTTAGCTCCGTTCCACTCCCCGATCAAACATTGGTACCCTGACATACATTGTGTTGTTTTATCTGTCAAAAGGGAATTATTATTATTATTGTTATTATTATTATTATTATAACGTAACTTTTTCTCCCTTGCTATGTAATCAATTAAACCGTAGTTGGTAACACTTTATTTGAAGGGGGCTGAATAAGACTGTCATGACACTTTCATAAACATGACATAACACCTGTCATGAACATCAAGTCTTCATGAATATTTATGACTGTTCGGTAAATTATGACACTTTTAATACAAAGTTGACATTGTTCAAAATGTCTTTGTTATGACAACTTGACATTAACCAGGAAATCATTACTGTTTAAACTTTACCTTTAATAACATAAAGTTACCTAATTTTTAAAGTGCAATCAGTAATACTTTTATAACAAATTTATATCAGTAATGATTTCTTGGTTAAAGTTAAGTTGTCATAACAAAGACATTTTGAATAATGTCAACTTTTTAATAAAAGTGTCATAATTTACCGAATGACACTTTATGACAACAGTCATAAATATTCATGAAGGCTTATTCATGTTCATGACAGGTGTTTATGACAGTGTCATGTCAGTCTTATTCAACCCCCTTCAAATAAAGTGTTACCCTGTAGTTATTGTCATGAAATGGTTTTGGTGAGGTGAGGAGATGACGCTGAGACCCAGGTGAAATGATGAATTTGATGAGTTTAATGAAGAAGCTCGGAGCAGTCCAGGAACAGGCAGCACGGCAGACAGATAAGCGCGCAGCTATAGCCGGTAGCACTGAATACAAAGACTGACAATACTTGAGCTAACGCCGACCAGGACTTGATCAGTTCAACTGAGACGACGGACTGACGCAGCAGCAAACGCTTGACAATAGACAACATTAGACAAGGACCCGACAAAGACCACAGACAACAGGTGGGACTAAATACACACAGGGGTAATCAAGGGAACGAGACACACCTGGGAACAATCAACGGGGAAGACGCAGAGCCAGAGACACAGGGAGCAAACTAAAGACAACTCTAAAAATAAATACACAGAAACATGATCCTGACAGTTATTCAGTCGGTCAGTAGTTATTCAAAACACATTAGAGTTTAATGTTTGTTCATTACAACATCTCCATCTTGCATTATTTAACATAATTAATCTTCTTATTTGAGAATTTTTTATTTTATTTACATCTGTGCGCCCTGGATTGATTGGTGGGAGCTGATACTGTTTACTCAGGTGAAGGCTGTGTGGTTGTTTGGTGCCAGCAGAGGGACACAGGAATGTAATTGTGCTAGAAAATGTTAATCATCTCATGATTTAAAAAATTTGTAATAAAGAGACAGAGTTTGGGGAAGAAGACGGCGTTTGCCTTTTTTTTCTCTCTCTCTCACTGATGCTGTTCGTCGTTACAGGCTCTCCACCAAGATCAAAATCTCATCAGATAAGAAAAAAAACAAAGAAAAAACAAAACATCATTTGTTACATTAGTCCACTATAAGCTGAGACGTGTAACAAACTGTGGGGGCTCGTCCGGGATCTCTCTTCATTAAAAATATTGGGAGGAGATCCAGAGATACCAGAACCACGTGACCAAGGTGACACAGCTGAAGACCAGGAGTCAACCCGTGGGTGTCCAGGGTGGAAGTTGAGAGTGGGAAGGAACCGTGATCCTCCACCGGAACCGCACTGCTGATCCTGAGGTCAACGTATGCTGATCGCCGAGGAGCCACATCGCCGATTCAGAAGACAGCGCACTCTAGCTGCAGCTGAACCAAGTTGTTGATCCAGAGGACAACGTACACCATCTTCAGAGGAGTCAACTCATTGATTTGGAAGACAATGTGTAATTTATCAGAGGACTGAACTGGAGGACCCAGCTGTAGTAGAACCAGACACCATGGCAGAGGTTCGCAAAGAGTTAATATGGAACATCAAGAAACAACTTTTCAAACTCCCAAGCGACAACGTTTATCAGGTGGCAAAAGACATTGCTACTAATAGCCAGCATGGAGGTGAACTGGACCCAAACGATGAAGAAAGCTGCATGGACTTTGTCATATCCTTTTTGCAGTCTGATGCCTTACTCGAGCGGGAAGACAAAGGTATGGGTTGGTTGCTGGATTTGAATGATTTGATATATAAGCTAATGAATGCTGATGCTACTGAAAATTCTGGAGCAAGTGTGTTAGATGATGTTTGTGCACGTATTACACCTAGTCACACTCAGTTTGTAACACTCAAACACTCCACATCACAACCCCATGCTCATTTTAATAGTGCAGTAATGCAGTCCCAACCTGACTCTATTACCCAACCCAACACAAAAATGGGGTCGGTAGAAGGACTGTGACAGGTGTATGAAGAACTGGGCAAGAAACTCCGACAGTATGAATCTACTGAGACCCCACCAATTCCAGTTTCTCTCCACCAAGTTGAGCCAGAGTTATATAACAGGCCACAAATGATCCCAGATCAACCTGTGTGTCTGAAGGACCTCTCCTACCTGCAGCGCAAAGATTTTAAAGTACACGGTGGTCAGGTTGGAGATCAGAACTCTGACTTAAGCTACAACAACGTCAGTAAACAAATCGATGAGGGAGTAAAAGAGGGTTTCACAGAGGCAGAAGTGGTCAGGGGGGTGTTGAGGATCATAAAACCAGGAGCCTTTAAAGACATGCTCGTAAACAAAGACTCAATCACTGTATCTGAGCTCAAAGGCTTCCTCAGGTCCCACCTCGGCGAGAAAGCATCGACTGAGATGTTCCAGGAATTGATGTGTGCCAGGCAATCAGACCAAGAACCACCTCAACAGTTCATGTACCGCATGATTGGGCTAAAACAGAAACTTCTTTTTCAAACTCGGCACACCAGTACAGACATCACATATGACCCCAAGACCATCCAAAAGGTCTTTCTCCACACCATATACCAGGGTTTAGGAACGAAACATGCATACCTCCGACAGAGACTGAGGCCCCTGATTGCAAACAGCCAAATTACAGATGAGGAAATCCTCAGCCAAGTCATGAGTGATGAGAATGAGCACCAACGCAGACTGGGCCAACTCCCTAGACAAAAGACAACACAAGCACACAGTACCAAAGTTGAAACATGAGGTGATTACAACAAGTCACAAGACGCAGCAGCAGACAGTAAGAATCTCCAGACAATAGGACAGCTCAGTGCTCAAGTTGAAGCCTTTACTCAGATGGTGGCTTCAT